ACTTGGAGAAAACAAGGTTCTATGTAGCACATGAAACTAAATTTGAGAAGTTGTTACCAGTTTCATACAATTTCAAGATCCTATGTCAAGAATCTACTGTAATTCATAGGTTATGTTATTCACCTATGTTGTAAGTTTCAACACTATCACTTATTAAAATATGAAAAATCCTTACAAGTTTCATCAAACACAAATGAACGATTTCCTGGATCTTCAAGCTCTGATTTTCTTTTCCTAATTGCGATAAAATTCAGTTCTCGAAAGCTTCACTGCTTCAATTTTCAAAAGCAACACCTCCTATTGTAAAGTTTAAAACTTCATATGGTCAAAAGAACTTTACAGATAGTTACAAATAGTGAAAATCTTGCTACAGAAGGTAATTAGGATGGAGAAAGCACTAGGCACACTGTTAAAGAATAAAATAGATGCACTGCAGTTCATACTTTAATGGATGCCATTGATCGATCAACAATTTTACCTTGTTATTTGACCTGAAGCAAAACTAAAATCCAAAGAAAAAAGAAAAATACCGTTAAGGTCTATGGCCTGGTTAGTTTCCCATTCGTGCCTATTCTTGACTTTTTCTTTCCAGTTGATAATATTTTTCCCCTTAATATCTTGTATGATCGATTCCTTCCATTTCCTTCTAGGCATTCCTCTCCTTTTTTTCCTTTTCCGGTGTTGTCCAAGCTACCCTTTTTACTGTCCTTGAGTTCTCTATCCTTTCTAAGTGCCCCAACCATTGTAACCTTTTTGACTATTATTTCGTATATGTTGGGTTCGTTAAATATTTCGTAGATTTCTTTGTTTGTTCGTCTTTCCCATCCTTCTTCTGTCTTTTTGCTCCCAGTATCTTTCGTTACCATATTTCAGTCTTGGTCTGTTCTTTCTTATTTAGTGTCCATGTCTCACTGCTGTATAGCATTGTAGGTCTGATTATTGTTTTGTACATACATTTTTTTATTTCCTGTGACAATTCTTTAGATTTTAGAAAATTATGTAAAGCTCCTGCGCATCTATTTATTGCTCTTTGCTAGACGGAGATCTATTTCAGCTTGTTCTTCGCTTCTATTTATAATGAAAACACCGAGGTACGTGTAACTGTCTGTTTCGTCTATTGGTATTTTTCCTATGGTTTTAGTTTGTAATTCTAGCTTTCCAGGATTTTTCTTAAATGTTTGTTTTTGAGTTGCATGTACTGACTCTTCTTTTCATTTATTCTTAGCCCCATTGTCCCTGCCGCGTCTAATAACTGTTCTGTTATGTTTTTAAGCTCTTTTTGGTTTCTCGCTAACAGTACATCATCTGCTTATGCTAATTCTTGGTGGGATCTGTTGATCAGGGTTCCACATCTGTTTATTCCACTGTTTCTGATGGCTATTTCAAGGGTTAAGTTAAAAAGAAGGATGGATAATGGGTTTTCCTGCCTAAGTCCGTTTTGGTTTCCTCACCTCCTACTCTTATTGCACACCTTGTACTTTCCAGGGTCATATTCATCAGTTTTACAAGTTTAACAGGTATTTTTAGTTCTTTTAAAGCATTTACCAATTTTCGTCGATTTACTGTATCATATGCGCTTTTAAAATCAATAGATATAATATGGGTCGGTATTTCGTATTCGTAGAAACATGTGAGTACCTGTTTTTAAATAAAAATTTGGTCAGTTGTTGACCTGCCTTTTTTAAAGCCGCATTGGTATTCTCCGATAATTTTTTCTGCTTCTACTTCTATTCTTCTCTTTATTAACGTGGCTAGTACATTATATGTTACGTCCAGCAAAGTTATACCTCGATAGTTTCCACAGTCTGCTAGGTCCTCTTTCTATATTGGCAGTATTACTGCTTTCCTTCAATTTAGTGGCATTTCTTTCACTTCCAATATTAGTTGTATTATTTCTGTTATTAGTTGTTGTCCTCCATTTTTTGGTTTTCTGCGGTAATTTTGTTTGATCCGAGGCTTTTATTATTCTTCATATTTGAAATAATTTCTATTATCTCTTTTTCTGTGAGTTCCTCAGCGGTGTACATAGGGTTTTCATTTGCTTCTTCTTCCTCTTCTGGTGCTTCTTCTTCTTCTTCTTCTTCTTTTTCTTCTATTTTCTGCCGTTTAGGTTCATCGTTCAGTAATTTTTGGAAGTATTGTTTTCATCTTTGCATTTGCTCGCTTTTTCCTCCTATTAAATTTCCCTCTTTATCCTTGATGTAAATATTTTTTGGCGAGTGTTTTTTGTATACCTTTTACATTTTTATAGAAGTGTTTAATTTAATTTTTTTTGTAATTTTCTTGTATTTCTGCGACTTTTTTTCTTGTTGTCGCCTTTTCTTATTTCTAAACATCTTTTTAACAGCCTTTCTTTGTTCTATATATTTTTTCCGTCTGTATCGTTCCCTGTTTGTAGGTATTTTTCTCTCAGTTTTTATTTTTTTTTTTTAATTTCTTCATCACATTTGTTATCTTACCATTCCTTTCTTTTTTGCGTTTTTTTCTTATTAATATTTTTCTCATTTGATGTTTTTATGGCATTCTTTATGTTATTCCATTTTTTCTCTACTACGTTGGCCATGTTTAAAACTGGTGTATTGTCTAGACTTCTTTCTATGTCTGCTCTATATCTCCTTGATACCTCGTTTACATGTAGTTCTTTCATGTTTTAGTTTGTGTTTATATTTCTATAGATGTTTTGTTTTTACAATGGATTATTTCATATTTACATTGTAATTAGCGTCACTGTAGCTAAGTACATTATAAGCATGAAAGATGTGTATGTTAAAGCATGATAAAACTTTAAACGCGTTTTTCTCGAACAGTTGTTTTTGTAACATAGAACCTTCTAAACAAGCAAACTATTACGTTGGACGTCTGCCAGTCAAAACCTTTCTCATGCATTAAGTTGAAAACTTATTAAAATTAAAAGGTCGCCATCTATACGATGTCTCAAGTACTTACCAAACAAGCGCCGTAATTTTTTATTCGCCTAATGGAAAATACATTTTGCTGCCTCAAATTTCGCTACTTCAAGAAAATTTATAGCGACGTTAACTTAAAAAAGAAAACAAGCACTTTAAAAATCTTTAATTGAGTCACTTGTAGTGAAGTAAATCAACGTTGACTTGTTTGCCGTTGCATATTCTTGAGGAAAAATTAGATTTGAGGGGTTTTTAATTCCCTTTAGATCCGCATAACAAACTCGTATATCTCAAGAATAAAAAATGCGATGGTGATCATAACTTTCGTAAAGAAAATACATTTTAAATACAAACTCATATAGTATAGTATATCTCAAATAGAATATTGTTGGTTAAATGCGAAATGATTATAGGTTAGGTAGTTTTAAAGTTTTTCAAAACACTAAACAAATGACAGATTTTCCATAATTATATTCTTAATACACTCTTAATTTAGAGTATTTTTGTAGAAAAAAATCCAAAATATCTTTTGTTTTCGAGTTACCTACCGTAACTTTGTTATTTTTAACGGCTGCCATCTTGGATTTTTTTATAATAATATTTCATAATATTCTTATAAGAAAGTTGGAAAGCATGAGGTTATATCAGTCGCTGCTAAGATTCATGTTTCATTTTAATAGCACAGGGCTCCAATTTGGGACCACTGATATTTAGTATATTTATAGGTGACCTAGAAAGAAATGTCATGCCATATAATGAAAACAAGCTGTTTGTGTGTCTAAATGTAAAGTATGTTTATTGTTCATATACTATAGAAATATTAAGAAGTTTTACTATTTAACGATCTACCTTTTTCGGATCATATTGAAAACCTCGCCAAGATGTTTCCTTTCGAAGCCTTCAGTGTGAAAAAATAGCGTTTCTTGTTAGGAGTCCGTATTAGAACATAATTTTTTGAATACTTATACCAAAGTTAACTACTTTTATAGCAGTCTTCATCGGTTTAGCGAAGCATTCTGGGAGCGTTTTGGCAGCCAATGATAATTAACGATGAATTAAACAGTTTGTAGTTTTATTAAAGCTGCATGTCCGAAACATTGACCAAACATAGCAGGAGCACCATTCGCACAAAATCTAGCAAGTTCTTGCTACATAGTAAATAGTAAATGCATAGGTAAGTCAGAGATTTAAATCATGACTTCGCAGATCACTTTTAATACTTCCATGGACCACTGTTTAAGAACTAGTGGTTTAATAGGTAATTTAGAGGTTAATAATATTATGTAAAAATCCTAGTTAGCTACCACAAGAAATATGAAGGTAGAAATATTAAGGTAGGTAACTCTAAGACAAAAGAATTTTTTTCTACAAAAGCATTGTGTCTATTCAAAAGTGTAACAGTTTAGCATATGTAAAATTAATGGTTCAGCCGTCATTAACAAAAACTAAATCTGACATTTTTAGTTTTTTTAAAACTCAACAACTAGGTAACTTTATGTGCAAAATACTTTTCTTTTCAAAAACTTTTCACCTCCTACAGCACCTTAACTAGACGAAGTAGGGTTAATTCATATTATTTTTATCCCAGGAGTCTATGTGCCACCCTATATATTTAATAGCTCCTAAAATAGAAGAAATTCCATAATTTTCTCACGAAAAAAGTATATTTTACCAAAACTACAATTTATTGTTCATAAAACGGAAAAACGTTTATTTAACCGCATTTTAGTTTCGAAATATTGTTCTGCACGCAACATCACTTGATTATTGTCTTTGACAGGCGGTGTATACATTTCCCTAGCAATTAACATCGTAATGGTTGTTACGATTTATGTTCCAGAAATGATTGACTTTCTTAATGATGTATCTACCAGCATAAAAATAGGTTTAGAGCTTGTTACTCAAGTGATAAAAGTTGTAATAAAACTATAAGTCATGTTGTTAATTAGACAGAAATAAATCAAAGGATGCATATTGAAATTTAGTTGTGAATTATGACAGAAATGTTGATAATATCAGAAAATAAGAAATATTTCCATTACAAACTATATAAAATTAAAGTGTTTTTCCCAATTCTAAGAGTACTTTTTTTAGCCTGCTGCTATAGAAGAACTTCGAAGATGGACATCGAACGAAGCCTTAGGAGACATCACCGTAACACCAGATTGTGCCAGCCGCATCACCAGCACCTTCTTCGATGGAAATACCACCGATGGTACTATTGGTTCCGACGATGAAGCCATCGATCACAAGCTTCCATCGCCTGAAGAACAACTCCAAGTTGTCGCGCTCAAGTAAGTGAAATGTTAAAGTTATAAAATTGACAGGTGGCGCCACCGGCAAACGTCTTTAGTTTTTCATGTAAACGCAGATCCACGATCACTAATAAACATGCGACTTGGTACAACAAACAAATACACGAAATTTTTCAAAATGTGAATGAAGTTTTTTGCTTTTTGGCTCTTTACATGCTCTATTAAACAGAATATCCACAATAACTTGTATTCGGCTAATTTCAATTTGCGGTAAATTTGACTGTTTTAAGTTTGCATTCTTTAAAATATTGTTTCCTTTCGTTTGTCAGATTTCGTAATTCATGTATTTTTCTAATTTTTCACACTATGTGATGTCTATAATTCTATAGTATAGATTTCAATTTCATTAACCAGGTAAACTTTTGTATCTCTAATCACCAACGTCCAAGCCTTGGTAGCAGATTCTTTTTGTAAAGCTAGTTTTTAATTCGCTTCGTTACAGTCAACAATAGAGTTTTAAAGCAACGCTAGAAACGTATGCGTATGTCTTTGACGTAATCGTAGAAATTGATGATACGTTAAACGTGTAATCTGGACGAAAATAGCAAAAGCATTGACATAAACATTGAAACCTCCCAATTTCAATACATTTAGATAACAAATCCATAAGCAAATATTGCTACTCAAAATATTTAACTACAAATTTACCATTCATACCTTAAATATATTGAAAACTCCCAATTACAATACATTTAGAAAAAAATCCTATAACATTATAACCACAGATACTTTTTGAAAAAGTATTGATAGTTATTGAGTAAATTTTGAATTTAAGGGCTTTAAATAACGATGATGATTTAGATGATGTTGTATGTAGTGTTAGAACTTCTACATGATGAAGAAAATTTGGGAAATAGAGGTGTTTTATATGGGATATTCCATTTTCATAATCTGTTTGAAATTGAATCCAAAAGTCCCTTCTGATTTAAAAAAAAAACAACACAATTAGCTTGCTAGAGCTATTGACATGCCAGATATGAATATAACAAATGATCGAGTATCAATGTCCGGTAATTTTTACTAATCCATTTGTTTTGCGCCACCAATGAGCTTTCGCGACTGCGAAAATAAAACTAACAGTATCCACGTTGGTGTCCCTGTACATCCAATAAAAATCTTAAATATTCGAAACGTCAAAATACACCCAATGAACTGCAATCGACTTTACCAAGCGGTAAGTATTCTCTGGTAGCCACTTATCTATGATTTGACAGCTGTCTAGCAGTCACAATTATAAATATAACCCCAAAATTCTGAAATTCGGTATCTAGCTAATATAATCTAATAAACTGAATCAACGAGTAAAAATTGTTGTTTAGTGCTTATGAAAATTATTAAGAATATCCACGACAATTTCATCATGTCCCACTTAAACGAAATGTTCTGTTTGTGAAAATTATTGTGAACATTCACCACAACAAGGAGGGATATTAAAGGTAAATTTTAGCATAAATACTACAATTTACACTAGAAAGGTTTCATAAAACGAGTTTACCTATGCCTATTTTTGTTGAACATATTTTACATCTTGTAAAAATATTACATTAAGTATAATATCCCTTTAATTTCAAACTGCTGATAACTGAATGATATAAATGTTTTGTGTGAATGTGTACAGTGATACAGGGTGGAAGCTGACTGTATGAAAACTTTTGACTAGTCGGATAAGTTTATTTTAAGCAAATATAGGTAAAGAAATACTTGTGGACGAACAAAACTTATACTATAGGCTTAACGCTCAATTAAAACCGTTACAAAGTCTAACTTATCTCTCAAAAAAAAAGTTTTACTACAATCATCATTAAATCTAAAAGAAAACTTTTATTAGGCCGATCAGATGTGTTAAAATTTATATTTTACCTACAAATAAGCATTGAAGGATGAGTATATATAAAATGTCTACCTCTTGTTCCTGTACTACGGTCTGCAAATTAAATTATTGCGCTCTTTTCTTCTCTAGACTATAACTCATATTTTATGACTGTATTTGATCGTTTTCTTACTGAAATTCGATATTTCCGTCAGTCTTTTCGTTTTAGAGATCCGTTGATCTCTTTGTGTTAAATATCCGTTAATCTTTCCATATGTGCTTTTTTTCTAAACACTTCAAAGAAAGTAATATACAATCTTAAAATTGATTTGGTATTTCCAGGTACTTCAATTGTTTCTTTCTTGAAAAAATAATATTATTGGAAAAATATTTTAAAATTGGTAGGGTTGTTATATTCTCTTTCTTGATAATTAAAATGTATAAGGTTGTTCTAAAGAATCTCTTTCTATCAATTACTCCTGAGAAAAATATTTATCATTAAGCATTCTATTGCAGAAAAAGGTGTTTTCTACAAATCCGAGAAGAATGTTATCTTTTCGAACGGCTATGTACGCCGCTGACCATAAAAATCATCAGTTGATGTCATAGTATTGAGGAATAATGCTAAGTCTAAGAAAAGGCGACTTTATTATTTTAGGATTATATCTTAGTCTATAATTTTTATAAAATACACGCATACCTAACTTCGTTGAGACTGTTTTACTTAAAATTGGATATCGGTGTTTTATTTTCTTGATTTAAAATCTCAACTCCTAGAAATAGTGTGCATCTTGAATACAAGATCAAATTTCATTGCAGTTGTTTTTATGAGGGTCTTTGCTTCGACTCTTCAGGTATAAACCCCTACAGTGTCACAAACTTTAATAAAGTTAATATTGATTGAAATTACCTTTTTGAATAACAGTATTAGTAGAAGATATGTGGATACTATTTCATACAAAGATATCTGAAAGCTTACAAAAGAAACAAAGTACATCCTCAAAACAAAATAAAACCTTGGATCAATAGACAACTTTCAACTGAAATTAAACATATGAAAAATCGGTGGTTTTAAAACAACCTGATTTTGTTAACCATCGACGTTTCTCCAACAATTTCAGCAATTTTATTGATAATGCAAGAAGAGAATACGAAGAATATATCGCTGATAGCGATAGCCCTAAGAAACTATTTAAACACGTAAGATGTTCTTTATCTTCCAAAGTATCAGTACTTTTCCTTAAAAGAACAGATGGAACTTTATGTAACAATGTTCAACGAACAGCTGAAGCTCTGGCCAACCATTTTTCACAAGTGATTTCCTTAGAACTCGCTGACCATCCCAGTTAGTCACGATTCCCGAATAGCAACTTCTTTATGTAATGTTTAGTTCTCATCTGCAATTGTTCTTAAAAGAATTCAATAAAATTTCTCTTCTGGAATTGACAATTTATCAGTGCTTTTAAAAGAATGCGCATCTTGTTTTGCTTTAGGTACCTCTTATTAGAACATTTTCCTATACATCTCACACACTTCCTTCAATGTGGAAAATTGCTTCGGTGATACCCATTTTTTAAAAAGATGACAAACTCAATCCATCCAACTATCGTCTAATAAGCCTCGTCCCAATTGCCTGTAAAATAATGGAATCCATCTTGAGCAATTCTGTCTTATTGTCTCAAGAGCTAACACGGTTTTATACAAGGCCAGATCCACGTTAACAAACTTAATGACCTGTTTAAATGATTCTACTATGGCTCTGGACAATAAAGAGCATGTCTATATTGTATACCTTGATTTCGCTAAAGCCTTTGACCGTGTTCCCAAAAAGAGACTGCTTTATAAGTTGAAAAAGTTGGCATTCGCGACTCTTTATTTCTCTGGATAAGTGATTTTTTGTCAAATCGCATTTTTAACCCGTAACCGGTGAGGTGGAGTCAAGTAGGCTCCTAACAATTTAGAAACTGCTGTAACTTTTTGTCGGTGCCTTGAATCTTGCGTGTGCTCGTCTACCTTCAAATCATTGTTAGTACTTATTAATATAGAGTGGATTTTGAGCTAGGGTAGAGTGAACAGGTTCAAATTAGTAATCGGAGTCTCAGTGACTTCACCTCACTGTTAAGGTAAGTTTTCGTATTGCGATAAATTTTTTATTTTTGTGATATAACCTCTTATTTTTAGATGGATTTAGCCTAGATATAAAATGTTCGATAACTTGCACTATAAGCACCAGTACCATTTCTAATTTTCTTTTTCATGGAACTTTGAAATTTTGGTGTTAATAGCATTCATTCCTCAGTGACCCTAATTTGTTTGTATAAAAATAATTTGGTTACATATCTTTAAACTACTTTTTAAGGACTTGCAAACAATATTAAAACAAAAAAACTAAAATCGTATATGACAATTTCTATGACAGAATGGTTTTTTTTTTTTTCAAGTTAACTGAAATAGGAACAAAAATTACGTCACACCAATTGAAGTTTACAAATAATAAAATTTTCTTGTCATCAGTCTAGAAGAGAGAATAAATTTGTTGTTTAAGATTTAATCACACATTTCTTACTTCAGCATTTTCCTTCATATTTATCTACTTTATCTACAAAAGCGCCAGCAGGCGTTTTAAAACACTATGAATCTGTTTATAAAATATTTTCATAATAACAAACTTAAAAGTGCATGCATGAAAGTTTTGACAAGACGGCACAAGTTTCAGATAAGTAATAAAGTAGATACAAAAATAAAAATACGTGTGATGCTACATAAAGATTTCTGCAGACTTTTTCGACTACATTGTTTGCAGGTTCTAGAAAAGTTCTGAAAGATCTGAACGACTTTTAGAAAGGAAAATGCAATTTTATACTAATACCCCTTTTAAAAGTTTTTTCCATAGAAGTACGTAAAAAACGTTATCATACAATGTATTTGTGTTTGTATCTAGGTGTGGTTCAGTGCTATAGCTTCTTCTACTCCAATTTTTTTACTAGATCTTGTATCCCATCTTGGTGTCATCCCGTCTTGGTGTCAGGGCATTTTTATACTGGAATTATCATAAATTCCTAAGAGATTTAAATGCCTTCTAAGATTGAAATGTTCCATAAAAAGATTTATTTTACTATCTTGAGTTCTTTTATACCACGGTTAGATAGATATTTTATATCTAATTTCA